CTCAGCCCTAAAGATTTTTTTTTTTTTTTTTTTTTTAGGACAGGGTCTACAGGGTCTAGGTAGATCAGACTCTCATAGTGGTTCTGTTTTCAGCCTCCCAACAGCTGGGATCATAGGTATATGACACCATGCCCAGTCTCAATCACCCTCTAGGCACCACCCTCCCTGGGGGCAGGCCACCCCCCACTAGGGGGATCAGATCCCAGCATGTTAGTCCACTGAGCTATCTGGCCGACCCTCTAAAACCCTCTATTTTTTTCCTTGAGGGTATCAATAAAGTTTTGAATGCTTTCAAAGTCTATTATTTCAGGAGCCAGGGAGATGACTCAGTGGACTAAGCGCTTCTCTGTTAAGGGCAAGGGTCTGAGTTCAATCCCCAGTTCCACAAAAAAAAAAAAGTCTATTATTTGGTTAGTTGTGTATATTGGCTCTGTCCTAATGGCTAGGCCACCTGCTACTGCTGTGCTAGCCAGGATGAGCAATCACTCATTTCTGGTGGGATTTGGGGTAGCCACAGAACTCCAGTCAACTAGGGTAAACATTAGGATCCTAGACCAGGAAAGCAATGCCACAGAGGCTCATGTGTTGTGGAGAAAATATGTAGTAGACCCCGCTAAATTGCCCTTATTCGCGGTAAGTGAAGAGATGGGTCAGGTTATGGAGGTGCAGTCAACTGACACATTTGGAAAGCCCTCACTTCCCAGGAAGTAAGTGAGGTTTCCCATGATTTGAATTGGAGAAGCTTGAGGTGAGATTGTGGGCAACTGAGTAAAATGAAACCTAGAAGCATCTGGAGAGAACCCTGAAGCCCAGTGTGTGAGGGACCAACCTGCTGGAGAGCACAGTGAGCCCCAGCAGCCAACTGTAACAGGCCTGGAGCTAGTGAGAGCTCGCCAGTGTCATCTTTGGTATGCTCAGGTTTGAAGTTTGTGAAAACCTTGGAGGTAGGGGACCCAAATAGTGGAATAAAGACCTTTTACATTGCAGAATCTTTACCTGTGCCAGCTAACACTGAGACAGCTAACACTTGTCCTTTTGCCCAGACGGTGTCATTGGGGATATATATGATACCGACTGTGGTTACAGGTGTACCTTCTTGCAGTTCGAGGGGGCTAGAGTCTGTGTGAAGGGAGGGCTTCCATTGTAAGGAGGGCTTACCCAGATCTGTCTTGTATACCAATGTTAGTGCTTTTTCTCCGTAACAACATACAGTGGTGCATTTTCAGCTACCACAGTATCAGTAGTGGATGTTATTACACATATTGACAGCATCTTGACCACCTGTTGTGTAAGGGGGTTCCTACCAACCTTGACAAACATACTTGTTGGTTTGGTAAGTCCGTTCCCAACTCAGATCACCACATCCTGTGTAGTAATTTCTAATCTCAATGTTGGGACAGGCATCAAAGTACAAGGACACGTTAGATTGATGGTCCATAAATTCTTAATTAGATACATTACCCAAAGGAAAGTCATTTTAATCCCAAATTGGACACATGTGAGGGTGGGCAGTCCCCTGTGTAGAAAAGGACAAAGGCAACCTTTTGGGGGACTCTCCAGTCCTCTAAGAATACAGCCCAGGGCCCCAGGGCAAATGTACAGATTATCAAAAGGAAAAGGGGCCAGAAACCAAACAATAGCACTACATGAGTTTTAGAGCAGACGCTCTGGCATACAGTGTCTGATCAATCTTCAGCCATGTGTTGACTCATCAGCCTCCGCAGTGACGAGAGCAGGACTCTGAGTGCATTGATGACTCATGTAGTCTCCAGGGTAGGCTTTCCAGCAGTCATTGGGATGAGCCCACTTGATTCTGGAGTCATGAATCCAGGGACAGACCTGTGTCATTTTTATGTCTCTTTATCTTTTATGCTAGCTAGCTTAGCATTCTTCACTTTTTACCCAGCTACTTCCATCCATAGACAGGGTGTACTCAGTGTCGGGGGGGGGGGGCCCTCATGGGCCCTCATTCTGCAGTCAGGTCGGCTGGCAAATAGCTCATCAGTCAGCGTAAGGCATACATAAGCTTTCTAGTCTTGTCATTATATTTCTTTTTATCCCTTTAGCCAGCCTTAAGGTTTTTTTTCCATTTCCTATAACTTTTACAACAAACGTGACTGTACCACTTGAATTTTAAAGTGTCCCTTCCTTTCCCTCAGATAACAGACCTCTAAATAATGCTGAATTTATTTTAAAACAAAAGCAAGTTAACCCTGTAAATTAAAAACTTGGTAATGTTCAAGAAATGCTTCATACAAATCAGCTCAAACTGAAAACCAGAAATATATCTGATGAGTTCAAATTTATAATTTGTTTTTTCCTGTGCGACTTCCTGGCTGAGTGTGGTGGCACACGCCTGTAATCCTAGCACTCAGGAGGCTGAGGCAGGAAGATCACTGTGAGCTCAAGACCAGTCTGAACTACAAAGTGAGCTCAAGTCCAGCCTGAACTGCATAGTGAGACCCTGTCTTAGAGAAAAAAAAAAAAAAAAACTTCCTTAGATTTGATATCATTTTAGCCATTACCCCAGGCTGGAGCTGCTCCAGCTTTTAGGTGCCTGCAGGCAGTGCCAGGCTGGTAATGTCAAGCAAGGGCTGGCTTGGTGCTCCGGGGCTGGAAGGAGGGACTGGACTCTGTCTTGTTCCATTTCTTGCTTTGAAATGAAAAGATAACCCTTGATTTTTCTCTCCAATCTCAGCATGACCTGCTCGGCCTAGGTCTCTTGGCCATGAGGCCAGCTGGGCTCCTCAGGTGTTCTGTCTCTCCTTTTTTATTAGCCTGCCTGTGCCATCCCACCTGTATATTCTGACATACTAAAGTTTAGCAGCTCTTCTGGTTTTGCCCATTACAGTATAATTCATTTTTAGTTACTTTTGTTTTTAGACTTATTAGATCACCTTTCCTTCAGTTGCCAGCTGAGTCCAGGTCACCTGGACTCAAGGGCTTTATTTTGGATACATCCACACATCCACATTTATACATTTTCTCTTTCCCTGTTTCCATCGCGGCATGGGATTTTTGGCCTCTCCTGTTGTGACTCATTCTTATAATTTTGACTAATAGCATTTCTCAGTTGTCCTTTGGCATTGAAGAGAGTCAGAAGTAAATGCTGGCAGTCATCCCAAGTAGGGAGATGGGTCTGAAAGACAGAGGCCAGGAGGTCGGTCAGAGCTCGAGGCTCCTCTGTGATGAACTGTGGCGTTTCCCAGTGAGATCAGTAGAGAAGGGCCGGTAGAGCGTGACAGGTGGCTGGTGTGATCCCGGTGGGCCTCCCAGGTCAGCCGAAGAGGCATCTGACGAGCATCGGGCCTGACCCCACGGAGGGCTGAGCAGGGCAGGAGGCGGGGGCGCTGCTGGCAGCGAGGACTGGGCTGCGGACCGGCAGCCGGGGCTGGGAGCGGCTGACTGGTGGCTGCCCTGGGAGGTCGCCGGATTGGCCACACACGGCAGGGAAATCCTCCTCAGGGTTGATGGGCAGGACAGGATAAATTTCTCTTTGGGGGCTTTTTTAATTGAAACTTTACGGAAGGGCAAGCAGGTTCCTTTTCCTGGCAGGCGCAGACACGGGGGCGGGTCTGACGTGGTCCAAGCCAGGAATCAATGCATGGGAACTGAGAGGCTGATCATTCGATCCTGAACCTGTTACTTTGTCCCAGACCTGGAGAACGACTTTTACTTATGGGTTCCCTCTGGCGGCCATGAAAGACATAGGCACAGCCAATCGATCTCAGAGAAGGTGCGGAGTCGGGATTTCAGGCACGGCCAATCCATCTCACACTCACGCACGAGCACAGACGTTTTCGAAAAACATTGCAGCCCCAGTCCCAAGGGCAAAGGGCTAGCTGAAACACAAACTATGCCGAACCGCGCGAGTAACAGAGGAGTGATCAGTTCCTCCCTCATCCCACGCAAGAGACGGAGACTGACAAGCTGACTGAGGGACGTCCGGGGCAGTCCTACCTCATCTGAGGGCACCGAAAGGTCGCGTTCCGTCTCCCTCCTTCTGTTGGCCCGGCGAGGTCTCTGCTGCTGCTCAGGGGCCCCCACCGGTGACCCAAATGGTCAGCAGTGTTTTCCCGGCCGGTGTACCAGGAAATATTTGCAGACACTAGCAGACCGCATGGAAAACGCTTTGCACCAGGGAGTTGGAAGGCAACTTTTATTAAGGCCCGCGGGCTGATGTGGGATCGCTCCCGCCAAACATCAGCGCTGGCTTAAAGGAAGGAGGAAATGAGTCGATAACGGGTCAGTCCATAATTGGTCACATACATAGGTTAGTGTATATGTGGGGCAGGTTGAATTGGAGGGAACAGCCAGGTAGCCAAGGCCAACTGAATAGGACAGCTCAATTATGAAGCTGTAGGTTTAAAAAATTTTTCCCACAACTCAAGGAACAACTCTGAAACTTAGGAAAGGAACCCAGTGCTTACACAGGACACACCTCTATCCTGTGTCCTGTCCCTTGCCCTTGGGGGAGACAAGATACACAGAACCAAGAGAGAAAGAGTTGCTGCTCCAGGAATTAGAGTGGCTTACACGAGAAGGGACAGGTCCTAACAGGGCTAGAGAGTGCAGAAATCTTCAGCTTCTTAGCTTAGTGAAGGAAGCACATTAATTTCTCCCTGCTGTGGACTGAATGTCAGGAAAGGCAGATGAAGCAGATTTAGCAGCCGCTCTTCTGAGTTCCAGAAGCCTGAGAAGAGACTGACAGACAAAAGACGAGCTGAGGAAAGACAATGGAGGTGCCTGAGGGACAGGTCTATTTCCAAGTCTTGCTGGTGATCTAGAGGCAGCCATTTTGTCTCCTGCCCATTGTTCCCCTCTTCCCAGTGCTTCACCCTGCATCTAAGGGGGTAAAGGTCAGAGATGGCTGATCAGGAGGCCTCCATGATCTTCAGGGCTCCCTGGAGGTCACTGCCGAAGGAGCTGACCCGGGAGCCATCTTTACCAGACAGTGTTAGGAGTTTCACAATTAGACCATCCAACACTGTGCTGGAAGATGGACCCAGAGCCAGCCAACATGGAGTCCAGGCAACAGCTGACCAGTTGTAGCTACAGGGATCCTGGCCACAGACCCCCGAGAGCCCAGGAGCCAGTTGCAAGCTCAATGTTAGCTGTGAGTTCTGGACCCACGAGATGACAAATCACACTTGGCTGGAGAAGGGGCTCACCATTGTGTTCCTGCAGTGGTCAGCCATCCAACCCAGAGCCTCATCTGCAGCACCTTCCCCCCTAGACAAGGGGCTTCCAGGGTGGGGGTGGAGGCTGGTAGCCAGGCCGAGGGCCTGAGGTGACAGGCACCACAGGGACAGGGGCCTCCATCATTACCCGGCAGTATTAGAGACCCAACCAGCACCCAAACACTGCGGGGTAAGACGAGGGCCCCTGCCCAGCCTGCCCTCTACAGCTGGCAGGCCCAGACCCACTTCCCCTCCCCCACCACCTGGTCTCTAAGGACACTTCCGGGTGAGTCCTGCTGCCCACTGCCAGCCTCACTCGAAGGTGCTGACCACCTAGGCAAGGACAGCTTCAGCAGCCCCTCACCTTTCTGCCCTCAGCCTCTAGCCCCTTCCCCTGCCACCTTCCTAGTCAGTCCCTGCCCCCAGTTGACAGCAGCTTACTGGCTCTCAGATCCAGAACCCCTGCCTGATGGCCTTTACCTGTCACCAGGCCCATCTGCCCCCCAGAGCTGGACGCAGAGAAGAAGGAACGACCTGGGCCGGATCGGAGGCCCGCAGCCCGCCCAGGCCCACTCTTCCGCCTTCCTTCTCCCCTTCCTTCTCCGCCTGCCTGGGGCAACCAGGCCTCACCTGGGCCCCGCCTGCTGCCGTGCACAGGTGTGTCCTCCTGCCATAGGCTGCCCTGTCGCCGTAACCCCTTCCCTCCCGGCACTGCCGCGGGCACCTCCAGTGCTTCCCACCCTCTCCTGGCAACCTCTCCTCCTACCTGCCTTTTCTCTCTCCGTCTCCAGGAGAACAAAGAGAGACGCTGTCCTTTCCTGCCCCCAGGACCAGCCTGGTCTGGCCGATCCTGCCAGAAGCTGGAGCCAGAGGACAGAATTTCCGAGGTTATTGTGGGGTCAGCCCAGCAGGGTTGGTCTGTGCCCCTGCCCAGTAGCCTGTGGGCACCGCCGAGGGGTGGGCGAAAAGGTCAGGCAGGTCCTGCCCTGGAACAGGGTGCCTACACCAGCAGAGAACCCCCAGCTGAGCACCCACCCAGGCCTATAGACGCAGCTTAAAGCTGCTGTGCTCTCCCACCCCTTCTCTCTGGAAGTGGGCTCACAATGGGTGCTGGGGATCCAGTGCTCTACACTCCAGGAGTCCAAGTCCCAGTTGGCCCAAAGCAGGTGAAGGGGTGGGACTGCCAGCCTTTCTTTAGAGTTGCTCAGGCGTTGCTGGGAGAGGGGGGCCCAGAGGCCGCAGGTGGTAGCCCCACCCCCACCCCAGGGGCCACCTCTCCAGGGAGCTATTGTGTGGCCCAACCCAGCACCCACCCCATGCTGCTCTCCTCTCCCTTTGTTTGTCTCCTTCCCCATACCTGTCTGTAATTATTCTGTTTTGGACACTTTCTGACTTTCTCTGAGTCCCAAGAGCACAGGACCTGACTTCTCACTGGTGGGCCCCCAGCACTCCTCAGAGCAGGTGACGCAGTGGACACTTGGGCTTGTGCCCTGGGCTGCACCCTTCCTAGCTTTAGCCTTTCTGGTAGTGGAGGCCAGTACTTCCCAGGTGTGTCTCATGCCAGCTGAGCATCCTTGGGAGACCCCAGCTTTAAGTAAAGAGGTACAGCCCTCTGGATAAACTGACCTAACGCACAGAACAGAGACAGGCAGACAGGAGCTCCATGTGTACCCTTCCTGACCCAGGAAGGGAAGCAGGGAGGGCGGTGCTGCTAGGTCTCTGCTTTCTAGAACTTCCTGAAAATCTTAGGGCTTGGATCCAGGAGCCAGATAGGTTTGTGGTGGGTCTCTCTAGAGTGACCCTCCTGTATTTCCAGGGTAAGGAGGGAGGGGGCTCTGGGTCAGATGGCCTAGATTAAAACCTCTGCCTTAAAACCCAGAAGTCTTGTGACCGTGAGAAAGTCAAATCATTTCTGTGCCTCAGTTTACTTTACTGTAAAATGAGGAAGACAAAGGTACCTTCTGGGGTTGAGCTGTGGGGGTAGCTCAGTGATGAGTGCTTGCTTGCCTAGACCTTGGGCTCCATACCTAGCACAGGAAATAAAAGAGGTTCCTAGCATGAATTTATCCTGTAGTCTGTAAACAGTTCCTGGGCACTTGGCCAGTATGTCATGAATTATGGTTGCCACTGCTATTATCATCCACAATCCTGGGGAGGGTGGATGAATTAGGGTGATTCATTTTTTTAAAATAAAGACTACATTTATTTAAATAGTGTTATGATTTGTGTCTAGTTGTCCCCCCAAAGCTTCATGCAGTCATGGGACGGACTTCTAGAGTGTGTGTGGGGTTTTTTTGTTTGTTTTGTGGAACCGGGGATTGAACTCAGGCCCGCGTGCTTGCCAGGGAAGTGCTTATTCCACTGAGCCATCTCCCTGGCCCCTAGAGCTTATGATTAATTCATGATCCAATCAATGCTGGGATTGTGGGTGTGAGTGCTACACCTGCCCCGGGGCGGACACCCTGGATGCCAGTGTAAGGAAGAGAGAGGCTTGCCTCTGCCGCAGCTGCTGCTCCTCCTTTTTGTTCTTGCTGTTTTGCTGTTTTCAGCCACATGAACTGCTGCCCTCTGCCATGTGCCACTCTGCCTTGGAGCCAGCCCGGTGTGGACTGAAACCTCCACAAACTGAGCTAAATAAACCTTTCCTTTCTTAATTTTAGGTGTCAGGTATTTTGTGCCAGCAATAAGAGAAGGGCAGAACCGGGGATTGAACTCAGACCCTTGCGTTTACCAGTCAAGCGCTTACTCTACTGAGCCATCTGCCTGGCCCCATTTTCTCTTTTTTAAAAGATATTTATTTATTTATTTTGTGTGTGTGTGGCCAGCTCAGCCCACCAGGGGGCGGGGCTGGCTGGCATGTGGTGCTGAGGGATTGAACCGTGGTCCCTGTGCTTTGCTTAGCTTAGCTTGTTCTAAGTAGGTGCTTTAGACCACTGAGCCATCTCACCAACCCCCCCATTTTCTCTTTTAAAGTACAGTACTAGTTTAACAGTCTGAGTTTGTCCGAAAACTCAAACTTAGTTTAGCAGTTTATCCCAAACTCCACAAAATATCTTTTAAAAATATAATGAAACACGTTGGAGAAGCTGGGGATTTGGCTCAGCGGTAGAACACTTGCCTAGCAAGCTGGAAGCCTGGGTTCAGTCTTCAGCACCAAAAGCAAAAAACTAAACCTCCCCTAAAAAACAGTTCAAGGGGCCAGGGAGATAGCTTGGTAGAATAAACACTTGCCTGGCAAGCACAAGAGCTTGAGTTCAATCCCTGGTTCCACACTCAAAAAAAAACCAAAAAAACAAACAGTTCAACCAAAAAAACCCAGTAAACTCAGGAAAAGTTTGGAGACTGGGCTGGATGGCGCACACCTGTAATCCCAGCACTTGGGAGGCCGAAAACAGGAGGATCACTAGGAGTCCGAGCTGCATAGTACGAAGTACAAGGGGGGTAGGGAAGGAAGGACAGAAGGAAGGAGGGAGGAAAGGAAGCAAGGGTTGGCTGTGGTAGCTCACCATTGTAATCCCAACACTCGTGAAGCTGTGGCAGAAGGATGACAATGAATTCAAAGACAGCCTGGGCTGCATAGTAAATCCAATCTAAACCAGTGAGTCCCTTTCTCAAAACTAGCTGAGTATGGTGGTGCACGCCTATGATCCCAGCACTCAGGATGCTGAGGCAGGAGGATCATTGCAAGTTCGAGACCAGCCTGGGCTACAAAGTCAGCTCAAGGCCAGCCTGAACTACATAATGAGACCTTGCCTCAAAAGACTAAATAATAAAAAAAAAAACAATTTGCAATATTTAGTGGAAATATCTACAGAGGAAAGGATTAGCAGTGAAATTACATAAGAAGGCAAGGACATGGGGCTGGAGAGATGGCTCAGTGGTCTAAAGCACCTACTTAGAACAAGCTTAGCAAAACACAGGGACCACGGTTCAATCCCCCAGCACCACATGCCAGACAGCCCCGCCCCCAGGTGGGCTGAGCTGGACACACACACAAATAAATAAATAAAATTTTTAAAAAATATTAAAAAAACAAAAAGAAGGCAAGGACATTTCTCCTACTCCATGTCCATAACGTTTTCCTGTGGAGTTCTCAGTGTTCATTTTCCATTTCAAAGAAAAGTGCTGGGGGTGTGACTCAGTTGTTTAGCAATTGGTGAACCCTGGCTTCATCCCTAGAACTTCGAAGAGGAGGGAAGGGAAAGAAAAAGGGGTAAGAAAGGGAAAAGGGAAAAATGAGCATAGTGGGGCACCCCTGTAACTCCAGTACTTGGAAGGCTTAGGCAAGTGGATCACCATGAGTTTGAGGCCAGGCTGGGCTACATAGTAAGTTCAAGGACATCCTGAGCTACATATCTGAGACTGTGTCTCAAAGAAGAAAAAAGAAAAAGGAAGGAAGAACAGACAGACTGGCACCTGGCTCATGTCACATGCTGTGTGTAGCAGTACCCTGAACAGGTCAGCCTGACCTAAAGGCTGAGGTTTACATGGCCCCAGACGGCACACACCCCGCCCTGCCCACCAGAGTCCCTGGGCAAGAAGTGCACTGGGAGCAGAGCACACATGATGATTCACGAACTTTATTTACAGGAACAGAAAGGTCTAGCTCCGCCAGGGGCCTTGCAGGGCTATCTATGTACAGGGTCAGGGAGACGAGGCTGGGACACAGCCCTTTAAATTACAGTGGAAGAGGCAGGGCCTGGGTTCCGGCTGGGTGGCTCCACGGGAGACCTCTGCAGGGGACAGTGAGGCTGCAGAGAGGAGGGAGGGAATCAGGGCTGCTGCGACTCTGGGAGGGCAACACGAAGCCAGTCTGCTGACAGCCTGGAAGGGCCGCAATCCCCCATGCACCACAGAGCTGGAGTCAGAGCAGGCTGAAAGACCCGGGCAGGGACACTGGGCTATACCGTGGCCACCTCTGAGGGCGCCGAGCTCACTTCCTCTTGAGGGAACCCTTGCTCTTCTCCTTGTCTGCCGATCGCTGCTTCTTCACTTTCTCCTCCTTCTTGTTCTTGCCATGCAGGTTCTCATAGACATCCTCCTTGTGTCTGTGGGTGTGCGAGCAGGCAGGTGTGGGCGGCAGTGCAGATGAGCAGGCTCGGCTTGCCCAGCACCGGCAGCCGCTCCACACCACCCCATCAAAGGAGACAAAATGGGAAGACGGAAGATGCTGGGTGGCAGCAGGAAAGGTCACTCACTTGGAGGAGGTCCGGGAGGCCTTGGCATGGGCACTCTTCATGGCAAGGGGGTAGGTGATGTTGCCATACTCCGACTCCTGGCCCTTCTGGGACTGTGGGCAGAGGCATGGCAAGGTGGTGGTCCCGGGGGCTCTGAGGGCTGATACCCCACTCCCCCACAGCCCTGCGCTGCGCTCACCTGCATGACTTCCAGCTTCTTCTTGGTGGTCTCAATGAACTGTGCTATAGCCACATAGATGAACTTGTACTGCGCCTCCGTCTGCACCATGCCTGAGCGCTGCGCCCGCACCATCTGGATAGTCTTCTGGATGTCGATGTCACAGTCCAGCCCTGGGGCAGGGGCTGAAGCTCAGGCCCTGGGGAGGTGGAGGCCCCGAGGAGAGACAGACCCAGGGCTGTGCACCCACTCCTCAAATGCCCGGCACTCACCCTTGGTGGAGATACTCTCCATGAGCATGTCGATGACAATGATGGTACCTGTGCGGCCGATGCCCGCGCTGTGGACGGAGAGAGTACACGGCCGTCAGAGGCTGCAGCCACCTGAGTGAGGCATGCAGTCCCTGCTGCAGCCTGAGCAGAGGTGCACCTGGCCTGCAGCTGGTCCTCTGCATGGGCAAAGGAGTTCACAGGCCAGGGCTAGGCATGGAGTACTGCTGGACAGAGGCAGAGGCCTCCAGAGGCCTTCCACCACTATCCTCTGCCTCCTGCTCTGACCCCGCACTGCAAACTGGTGGCTGCCCTCAGCCACGGAGATCCAGGTCCCCCACCCCCGCCATGGTCCTTGGCGTTCCCCAGGCTATCCTCATCCCAGCCTTCCTAAGCTCCATGGGTGAAGAGTGCAGATCAGCAGCCTTGGGTTCCAGCCCCAGGACCAAAAAGAAAGTGACACTTGCTTTTTTTTCTGAGACGTTCCCTTTCTCTTTTCTTCAAACCTTGCAGTAAAGCAAGGGCAGGCCTGGGGACATGGGGCTTGGGGAGCACTGTGGTTGGAAGGTTGGAGCCATGCAGCTGCAGGATGTCCTTGCTCCTCCACACCCTGTGCCATAGCCCTGGGCAAACAGGTGACTGAAGGGACCTGGCCCACAGCCCATGTCTGGGCCCATCAAGCCAGTGCTCTGAGTCGTGCTGTCTAATTTCAAACCAAGATTGTCAAAAATAACCCCTTTCACCCACTTCCTTCCTGTAATGTCTAAATAAAGGCCCTGGGGATTTCACAAAGTATATGAATGGGGGGACACAGCAGGAGGGTGGCTCCTAGGCAGCCCTGGCCCCTGAGACAGCCAGGAGGCCACTCTCAACTTGGCCACACTTAAGGACAGAACAGATAGTTCCTGGTGGAAAGGAGGAGGAAGTCTGAGGCCCCAGAGGCCTGAGGTCACATGGAGGGAGAAGGAAGAGAAGAGGCCACAGCAGGTTGCCATTGCCTCCAGCCTCTTCCTAACAGGAGCCCTCTCTGAGAGTGGGGTTTTATCTGATCCTCACAACAACCCCACCAGCCTGAGCTTACTGATGAGAAATCTGGAGCTCAGAGAAGTTAAGAACACACAGTTGGGAAGCAGGAGAGATGGATTTTATGCAGACTTACCCTGGCCTGGATCCTGACCTCCACTGGGAAGCTTATCTGAGGGACCCCTGCTGAGCTTTGGCCTCCCCACCTGTCACACAAAGGTC